CACAGAGTTTTCAATAAAATCCAAAGCCTGAGGTAGAGTAGGCCTAAACAAGAAGCTAGTAAAATCCGGCAGAATAGTCTTAAGAATATAAAAGGTGAAATCACAATAAAAAAATAAATGTGAGTGATTCTCAAGATGACCCAAGCAAAGAGAGCAGTTAAGAGGCACTTGGATACATCTAAGTTGCAGGTTATCCGCAGTTTTAAGTTTACCAATCCTTGCCATCCATGTAAAACAAGCATACTTAAGGGCATGTTTTTTGTGCCAAATGGATCTATACCAATCTACCTGTGGTAAATCAGAGTAAAACAACTCTATGAAATTTTTAAAATCCCATTTAGGAGATCCATTCCATAAAACCTCATTGATATCTTTGATTGCCATAGTCTTTAAGCTCTCATGAATACTCGTGTGAATGTAATGAGACAGCTGCCAAGTATCATTCAAAATAAAGTCTTTCATTATAGCATCATCCAGAACCGATAAGTGAAAGTTTTCACCGAGAAAGTGTCCATTAAGCCACGGGTCCCAGAGTAAAGAAAATTTATTGTGCTTAGACACAGAAAAATATAACACCTCTTTGATTTTTAAAACAATATCAGTAATTTTATGCCAGAATTTAGAGGCAGCTGGAGGAGGGTGCTTCCAGGGAGAAATGTACTTAGCTTTATACCAACAGCTAAGGAGATTTTGGTTTTTATGAAATCAGCCAATAATAGAACAGAAAACGCCAAAATATAGAGCTTCAAAAGAGGGAATGCCAAGGCCTCCCGCAGATTTAGGAATATTGACTTTAGACCAAGAGATGAGGTGCAATTTTCTCTCCACCATATTATTGTGAAATAAAAACTTAGAGCAAAGTTTGTTAATAGCAACACAACAGCCCTTAGGTATGATAAATCCCCTTATCCAATAAGCAATGTAGTTTGTAATTGTGAATTTAAGAAATTGGACCCTACCTGCAAAAGAAAGAAACTTGTTTTTCCAACTTGCAAGTAGAGCAGAGATTCTACTCAGGAGAGGTTGGAAGTGAGTGGCTTTAAGTATTTTAGGAGATATGGGGATACCAAGATAGGTATGATGAAGATTGACATTATGGATACCAAGTTCCTCACAAATCCATAGGTTTCCTGTGTCATTATAAGAAAAGATGATGGCACTCTTGTTGGTATTGATTTGAAGGCTAGATAAAGAGGCAAAAACTTATAAACAACTATTCAGATGAATGACATTATCTCTACTAGATTTTCCCATCACCAGAAGATCATCGGCATACATCAAATGAATGACATAAAAATCTTTGCAGAAAATACCTTTGAAATTATGAGGTGAAGCAGGGTCAATGAGGATATTGGATAATCCATCCATAGCAATACAGAAAAGGAGGGGAGACAAGGGGCAGTCTTGTCTAAGACACGAGTTAGATTTGAAAAATCCTTCAAGGGATCCATTTAAATAAATGGAGAAATGAACATCATTTATGCACCCTTTGATCTAAGTAACAAAAATCTCAAGAAATCCTTTCTGCAAAAGCCTAGCAATAATGAATTCCCTAGAGACAATGTCAAAAGCCTTTTTGACATCAAGTTTAGCACAAAACTTCTTGTTAGAGCCCTTGAAATCTATAAGTAACTCAGTAACAAGTATAATATTGTCGGTAGAGCATCTATTAGCAATAAAACCTGATTGACTTTCATGTATGATGTAAGGGAGTACAATTTTGAGTCCGTTGGCTATAACCTTAGCAACAATTTTGTAAAGAACATTGCAAAGAGAAATTGGCCTAAAGTCATTGATGTTTGAAGCATGAGAACACTTAGGAATTAAAGCAATAGTAGTCTCCTTAACTCCTCTCGGGAGAGAACCAGAAGCAAAAAATTGCAAACAGCATTGTACACTTGCAAGCCAATAAGATGCCAAGATTTCCTATAAAAAGCATAAGTAAAACCATCCGAGCCAGGGGCAGTATTTTCATTTCCATCAAAAACTGCAAGCTTGACTTCATCCAAAGTCAAAGGAGCCACCAACATATTGCAAAACTGAGGTGGGACCAAGTTTCCATGAGGGATATTTAGGGGTAATTGGAGAGTATGGTTAGAGGAATTAAACAATCCCTCAAAGTGTTTAATAATGGCAGTAGATATATCACTAAACTTTGTGAAATGGCCATCAAAAGTGGTAATCTCCTTAATGCAATTCTTGTTATTTCTGCTTCTAATATGGTCAAAAAGGAAGCCAATGTCATCTTCCCCCTTAGTAAGCCATAAGACTTTAGCTCTTTGAGCTAACCAAGAAGTCCATTGAGCTTGGAAAGCAACAAGCTCCTCATTTATACTTTTCAGGTTCTGATTTAACCCAAATCAAGAGGGAAGGTTTGTAGCTCAACCAAACATTGCTACTGCTTGCTTTTAATTTCTAGTAAAGCATTAGAAAGATAGGAAGAAGCAATTCCTATTTTTTAAAAGCCTCTGAAGGCTTTGTAAACTATGAAAGAAGGAAGCCATAGGGCTTCTAGCCGATCTAGAAGTGAAAGCCGCAAGGACATCATCCTAATATCCCTCCATATTAATCCAGTAGTTTTTGAACATGAATCTTACAGATAAAGCCTTATCATTAGAAGATTTGAAGATAAGAGGGGAATGGTCTGAACCGAGATGAGATTCCACATTATAATAGGCATTAGGAAAAACATCCAAAAGAGCATTATTAACCAGGACTCTGTCCAGCTTGATGTGAATAGGATTATCCACTCTTTGGTTGAACCACGTGTAATAGAGATGCGTAGAAGAAAGGTCTTGCACCCCACAGTTAAAAATGAAGCTATTGAGTTCACCCAATCTACTAGTGGAAGAGACAAATCCACCAGCTTTTTCAGTTTCATATATGAAGCAGTTAAAGTCTCCCATGATGACCCAAGGTTGGTCTAAAGGAGGAGAAGAAGTAATTAGGTGCTCCCAGATATTTTTCCGGTCCTCCATAGAATTAGATGCATAAATCACTGTGAGAAAAATCGGAGGGAAAGAACCCACAGAAAGGATGCCGTGAATATATTAGGAAGAGGAGGAAATAAGATTAAAAGAGAAGACCGAAGCATCCCACTTAATCCAAATCCTACCCAAAGTAGAATTCCCAAAATTGTTGCAACTTCCTTCGTTCTCAAAAAGAAGATGAGAACGTAAAAAATCATGGGTCTTCAAAAGAAGCAAGAGAAATTTTTGCTTCCA